AAACAGGGCAAGCCACAAAAAATGATGAGAAAGGGAAGAAAGTTCCCCGTATAGTCAGAGCATGCTACAAGCTCGTGAGGACCAAACAATGATGAAAAAGGGAAAGTTCCGGAGAAAGTTCCCAAGCCAGCACTCAGATTTTCCGGCGCAGAGATTTGCCCCCAAGGATAACTTGTTTACAAAAAAACAACAAAAAAAAAAAAAAAAATGTTGTTAACTTGTTATGACTCTTTTGACCATGTCACCCATTGGGTTGGGTTCGGGGTTTGAATGATGAGAGTGTTCAGCAGTGCTTCCAGCTATTTTCTATGATTGGTTAACTGATGAAGTTGGTGAAGGAAAGAGCCGCACGACTGACAAACTGAGCACACAACCACGCCCTGCGCGGCAAACACGTGTGAGCAAAACAATCAACAATCTCGAACAACTCTCGTAGCGATACAGCATTGAAAAACGCCGAGAGAATACCACCGCATATGCTATGGCTATGATTACCACTCCACCCTCACGCTTGTTTGTAGATAAGCCCACTCGTTAAGTACCGCTTTCTCCGATGGAGACTCTAATCATTATATTAGTATGCGCAGCGTGCATCCCCGGACTGCGAATTCAGGGCTTTTCTTTTGCCAACGTATATTATATATGCTCACGTATATTAAGAGACATTGGTGATCGTTGCCCCCAAGCCGACAGATATAAGAGAGAAGGACCGAAGCGCAGAACACCTGGCAGTCCCTAGCTAGTTTCGGCCGTGGGCAGACACGCCGCTTCAGCTTCATCCGGGGGGAACGGCGGCGATGCTAAGGTGGTCCTACAGTTACCAAGATATACTTGGTACTTGGTCGACTCCGCTTCCGTCGTTATTAATAATAACACAGCTGCCTCTGGTCCTGAGTTCCGTCGTTAATAATAATAACACAGCTGCCTCTGGTCCCGAGACTACCGTCTTCACCCGAATAGAGCGCCCGGTCATTATAGCTGCTGCATTTTATTCGGGTAAAGACGGGTAGCTGGGAAGTTTTCGATTTTGGCCTTATTTTTTTTCTGGTGCTAGGACCGTGCTCAGGGCGTGCTCAAGGTTGACGGCAATAACGACCACTTATCGCTGTATATGGTCCATTTTCAGTCCAGATACGGCAATAACGACCGTGCGTTCTATTCGGATGAAGACGGTAGGGGTTTTTTTTTCAACAAAAAATGAAAGATTTTCCACAACAGGCAAATAAGATACAAGGCATCAAATCAAACACATGGTTTCATATTACGACTGGATCTGCCTCGGGCTTCGATGAGAAGAGATTGGGCAAAACTGCTTTTGATTAGTTTATCGCCATACTGCTTGCTTCTTGCATGCTTGGTGGGTTGCTTCGTTGATTGTTTGGTTGATTGGCTATATCTCTATATCTATAAATCGGCGACCACTTTCAATCAACTGCTTGATCGACTACACAAACATGTGTGCTTGATTGCTTCTGATTGTTTGATTGATCAATTGGAAGGATTGATTGACTTTTAGTCTTATATACGTTACCAGAGAGGCCCAGGACCACTTGCCCTGCCAGGGCAAAAACGAATTTAAATTATTTAAGATTAAAAATAAAAATAAAAATAAAAGTAAAGCAAATTCATTTTATATTTTTGTTTCTGATTTCGCGAAGAATTTTGATCCGAAAATAAAGCAAGTTTTTTTCAGTTTCACCTCTCGACTCTCCACGGTGACTTCCAACTTCCTTTTGACAATTGCTTTGGATAGCATTCGCCATGTCCCAAGTCCCGGTCCCAGATTCCCAAGTCCCGATCCCAGTGTCCCAAGTCCCGGAGTCCCAGAGTCCCGTTCTCAGAGTCC